TCCTAGTACTGCTTAGTTCTCTAGTATTACTCAGTCAATTCGTGTTAATCAGTCACCAGGTGCTCTATATAACACTATATTGCTCCTATATAACTGCTCAGTTGTATGTAGTATTAATCGATTAAATATAATATGGCTTAGTCACCCAGTATTACTTAGTCACATAGTTTTGTTCATATATAATTAATTGCTTAGTTTGCCTATATTATCGCGCTCAGTTGCCTATATTATTGCTCAGTTGCCCATATTACTAAGAAGCCTAGTTTTGTTCAGTTGCCTATATTATCGCTCAGTTGGCTAGTATTTTGCTAAGAAGCATACTATCGCTCAGTTGCATATATTGTTGCTCAGTTGAAGAGTATTGCTAAGTTGCTTGGCATTGCTCATTTGTCTAGTATTGCTCAGTCGCCTAGTATAGTAAAGTTGCTCAGAGGTGGTGTGCGACCTCTGATACCGACCTCGGCCTCAGGCCTCAAACAGGGAAACAGCAAGTCTATTGATGATTCTACACTTGTTCCTTATAAATTCTCATACTGTCAACGTATTTAAATGAATCGGGCCATGGTTCCAACATTCTTAAGGCCGGCGCTGCGTGAAGTCTCAATGACATATTAGAATAGTCTGGAATGGTTTGCCTTACTATAAAATTTCCTAAATGAAAGCTATGTTTTCTGTAATTCATAGAGGTACTGTAAAATGTAGTATGCCTCAGTATTATTGTGTATATTTGACTAAATGTATAGTAAAGTAAAATTTCCTAGTTCGTATTGCATTGTAACAAAGTATTTTGATATTTTATGTTAACAGAATAATTATATCGGGAAAAATATTTTGTAGATGGTCATCCACGCGTAGCTTTTATCTACATTTTAAAATCAACTAAAGTTTTACCTGCAGATTTTACAGAATATCTACAGTGTTGTAAATATCGACCTAGTATACAAAACTGCATACAGTAAAATGAATACTTGCAATGAGATTGCGTACTAACTTATTTGTCTCCCTCAATTGAATAAAGGTTTTAAGAACTAAACCTTATTTGTTTGTTATTATATTCACATTTACAGAAAGTAGTAATAACTTCATTTGTGTCAGAGCCTAAAAGAACATATTAAAATCATAATGTAGTTTCTGTTACAACTTCTAAATTAAATATTACCTTGAATGCGTAAGGTAAGTGACTTGGCTTTATTAAAACCCATTATTTTCAACCAATTAGCTGTCGTTGGAATAAAAGCTTTGACCTGAACCTATTAAATGGGCTAAGTAGATAGAGAATTTAGTAAAAACATTGCTACAGAAGTGCAAATTATTAGGCCATGCTAAGATGACGACGTTTAGGAGGAAAAGATGAACAAGACTAAAAGTTATCATTTGTATTGTGCCGTTTCTTTCAGTTGAAAGAATTTTTAACTCCTTATCGTACTTTGAGATTTATTTGAGGCTTTATCGAAAAAGATATTACATAAACGCATTAATTGATGCATTGATGTTCCATTATTTACTCATTACGTGAACCATTTTTAATAAAGGAAGGTAAATTAATTAATTGTTTACTTATCGTATTCGCTAATTTACATACTATAGGGGCCCGAGTGTTATCTAGTGTTTTACGCCAGATGCATTCTTAGAACAGAAACTTTTCTTTTCTTGAAACTTTTTAAAGGGTATCAGGTGCTGTTAAACTTATAGGGGAATAATATTTTGCACCAAGTGAAGTGCATTATTTGCCGAGTGAACATGAAATTGTGAAGTTTGTCAACAAGTTTAAGCTGTAATATTGGCAATGATTATACAGGGTGGTAAAAAAGTCCCAGGACAGTTAAATATTTTAAAAAATAATGTAGATAGAGCTACAATACTTGGTACAAAGTTACAAAGTATAAAACTTTATTTTAACACATATTCAGTGATCCAATAACTCTTCAGGGGGACGGCCCACAAGGAGTCGGAAGAAAATCTTAAATGAAAGCATAGGTCAATTTGCACATCAAATTAAAGGTCTTTCTTAGTAGAATACAATGCCGCAAACCGCACTTCAAAAGGTTGATCCTGCGCAAAATGGCAGATGTTCAAAGATTTCTTGAATCCGCCATTTTTAATCTTTGAACGTCTGCCATTTTTTACTCAGGCGTTCTTTTGAGCTTGAATTTACGGCATCGTAATCCACTAGTAAAGACCTTTAATTTGATGTGCATATCGACCTATGCTTACGTTAACAATTTTCTTCCGATTCCTAGGGCTGTGCCCCCTGAGGAGTAAGCGTATAATAGCAATGTAAATTAAATGAATCTTTGAACAACTGTCATTTTGCGCAGGATCAACCTTTTGAAGTGCGGTTTGCGGCATTGTATTCTACTAAAAAAGACCTTTAATTTGATGTGCATATTGATGTTATAAAAACTGTATGTAAAATATTTTTTTAGTAATATTTTAGGGGTTGCTAAAAATCCCGTACACTGGTTTTGTTTGTTGTGCAGTAAAATACAAATAGTGTTGACAGTGAGAAGTAGGTGACGGTGGCCAAGTGCAAGTGAATTTTCTTCCTCAAACGGTACATAATAGCCCGATGTCAAGTCAACAATAATGTTCATCTTCACTCAGATACCCCAAAAATATGGTTAATATGGCACTTTTGATTTTATAAACAACCCCTTAAACTGCTTAGTCATCTCCATTAAATTAAGGGGCCGCCTAATAGCAGGCGATGCCAAATAAAAACAAAATAAAATAAAAATTAGATCATCGTAAACTCAGTTTATACCGTTTACTCCGCGATCGATTCATTAAAACACAGAAAGTGAAAGAGCATTAATTTATCACGTTTCGTTTCAAGATATAAATACCCCCCGCCGCAGCAAACCTGCAGACTAAGCGAATTTCCATCAGCCTGATAGGATTTACACTAAAATGCCCCCTTAAAAATATCATATTTATTCCCTATTTAAATATAATTAGATTAACGAGTACTTAGGTTTGCTGCAACAGGGAGGGTAAAAAGGTGTTTTTAAATGTTAATAGTTTAGTAAGAAATGAATGTATTTTCCAAATCCGATCAAAATATGTTCATAAACAAGCAAACTACAACGGTTGACTTATTCTCCATAAGAATAACATGGGGATTATAAATTTACAGTTTTTTGGAATTTTCTCCGTAACCATTAGGCGCACAATAACGCTTCGATATACAAAATTATTTGTTTTTTTACGCTCTACAAAATGGTTTGAAAAGAAATTGTAAAATTATGTGTTTTTAGGGTCAAAAATGGGAAAAACCTATTTTTACCCCATAAACCCCCGTTCCCGTAGTCCGATCATGCTGGTTCGCGAACTCGTTCGAATAGAAATAGGTTTACACGTTTGTACCAAATTTCATCAAAATCACACACACACACATATATATTATATATATATATATATGAATTTGAACGGATGCTGTTTTTGGCCTTTAGGGATCTCAAAACGAAAAATGTAATCGGTCCCGGGTCCAGGTCTTACCATGAGTACTACGGTAATAGCTTATTCCCTTTATGGGAAATTCGCTAAAATCAACTGAATTCAATAATCAATGCCATTGCTTGCAGTATGATTAGAAAGTTTAATATTGGCCTCTGTATTGTTAAGTAACAATGCTGTAACAATATGACACGTTACTTAATAGGCCTACTACCTTCTATTCAACCTTGGCTGGAACGTGCATTCTACATTAGCAGTTGCGCTTCCTTCTATTGTCACATCTGATTCATTCACTCTCGTGGTGAAATGTGGTGGCACGTCGGTTTATTTTTAGCATGTACTCTTGTGGACTAGTAATAAATAAATAAGCGGTTGTGAAAAGAACTGCTAATTTATATGGAGTTGTTTATAAGGAACTGCTACTCCTTGAGGAGTATGTCAAATCTATGGTGAGACACAGGAAAAAATGTAATAGATTCAAGTGTTGTGGGCTTCTAGCATCCTGAAGACTACATTACTAGACTAACAGGCTGTGCCCTGCATCGCATCACTGGTGGAGGATATTGAATATCGAAAAACACATGAAAGACAAAGAATTTACGTAAAGAATTTGGTTAGTATTTCGGCTTTTCTAAATAATACCATCGTATTTCTAACATCACAGGATTTTATAAAAGCTGATTTCTACTGGGAAAATAATGCTTGTTTAAAATGTGCTATAAAAATAAAACTAGCATACCAGTACACAAATATAACTAGCATAAATTGTAAAATGTTTAAGTAAATAATAATTGACTAAACTTAATCGTTAAAAACCACATACAAAGATTTTTCTCCACTATTTTACCATACGGTACACCTTTTAAACACTTGAGTATAATTTAAAATAATTGGCTGGTTTAGGAGGTAATTATGTCAAGTGACACGTGGTTTGGTTACATGACACATTTGGTATTAGAATTAGTTAGTTTAGTTGCATTGTGTTATGCTATCAGTTTGTATAGCTACATTTCACAGTCCTCGATGTTGTCATTGACTTTGGATACGGTGAGTAGACTTCTCTTTCTTTGATGTAAAATGTAAATTCTAAAACATGTTTTGGCCTGGGCTTGATGTCTGGTAGACCAAAGGGCTTTACTGGCAATTCAGTTTTTCTCCTTTTTCATGAGGTTAAATGGTACGTACAATAAATATTATGTTCCTATAACTTTAGGAACTAAATGGTTACAAATAGATTGTTTTATTTGGCTTTAATAGTTGGTTCAACAACAAGAAAATGTGAGTAATTAACAAAATAGTAACTTAGCATTTTCATCAGCAGATTTCAAGGATAACTAATCCATAAATGAAGTATTTAATCTATGATGGGATTGTGTTTTGTATTATCAAATAAAATACTGAGTACCTGTGGCACTCAGTATTCCAATATTGATGTCCTTGACCTTGCTCAAACAAATACATTTCAATTATTGACTCTATTTTGATTAAAAATGCAGTTATTTAAAAGGAAACAATCCACCCTAACTGGTTGTACTTTGTTGCAGATGATATCTCTATTCAACATTCTGCAGTTAGAGCTGCATATGTTTCCTGCAGCTGTGATTCTCATTCTTCTTCTGCCTTTGTCTTCAAACCTCAAAATCCGCTACTACGGCTGTTTCATGGTCTATATTCTATCCATCTCCTGTCTATCAGTTGTTTTAATGCCTGTCTTCATCTTCAGACCGAAACTCGTCCACAACTGTGTGTAAGTTGAGATTTTGCTTGTAAATGTTTACTTGTGTCAGTGTACACTTTTTTTAAATGCTGCAGACATTTCACACTTATTACATGAATAAATTTAGTTTGACTTTAAACAAGGTTACACGGTTTGTCCCAGTTAAAATATAGTTTTAGGATTTTTATGTTGGAATCTTTTAGGAAAACCATGATAACTGCCACCACTGTAACAAGATTCTTCTAAAAGGGGTTCTTATAAAAATAAAAGGGTTCTAAAAGGATTGAACTTGACAGAAATTTTTGACATGAAGAGTATTTTTAAATAAAGTTTCTTTACACGAATGCTTAAACTATTATTACTGTAGAGTCTTTTTCTAGGAGTGCTTAACTTGAGCAAAATGATGAACTTATGCTTGCTATTTGACTTGTTTGATTTTAAATGTATTTAATCGAGACTGCCTACAACTTGGGGTTCATATAAGAATAAGAATAATTTATTCCATTAATCTTTTTACAAAGAAATAGGACACGTCATATACATTACAAAATAATCATCTTAATACAACCAAATTAATTTCTTATACATAAAAACATTACATAAAAACAGATTAAGCTTACATAATATCCATAATATTAAAACGTAACAGGGTTTTTTTATTTCACGATTCTGAATCAACCACTCGACGGATTTTCATGATTTTTGTGTTGAAAGAAAGATAATTTTGAGAACCAGGGAATGTAGAAGCCATAATTTTAGTTTAGGGTCCCAGTTATTTAGAAATTAACTTTTAATTTTTGAAAAGTCTAGCAGCCGACGCTAAGATTCTAAACTAGCTTTTGGTATAATATAATTTGCTTAACATAACAGCTGTAAACATTCAGCGTTTGTAACACAAACTCAGCATTTGGAACAAATTAAAAGACATACTAAGAGTTGACTTATTTATACTATGTGTAATGCTAATCATTGATACGTTCAATCCTTCGATAAGAGGATGACGGATTATTTAAATATTCATAGTAAAATACTAGGATGTGCAAATTATTTTTGTAAGTAATCTTTGTAATCTTCGGTTTGTTTTAGTGCAATATAATTTATTTTAACTAATAGCTGGTTAATTATGAAAATGCCCTATAGAACTATGAGGTTATTTAGTCTGATTTTTTCATTGATAATAGGAAATAAGTAAGATTAGTAGACCACCGAGATAAGTAACACCATCGATGTGTACAAGTCGAGGCTCTGTACACGAGTTAAAAAAAAGATATGCAAATTATTTTACTGCTCAACTTTTATGGAAAGGGTAAGAAAATCACAATTTTTACATGTTTTAATTCATTTTGGCAGCTTTTTGTTTACAATCAATGTTTTTGAATGCTTGAACTTTGTTTGGATTAGGCCCAGAAATATTGATGTCATAAAGATGGAGATCAAGAATTCTCAGGAATACGATTTTAAATTACCACCACAACCTCAGACGGGTTTTATCCAAAGATATACAGATTAATGACATAGATTGATAATAATAATAATAAATAATAAAAAGGTCTTTATTTAGCAAGCGTTTTTCAGATACAATATTTCTGCTTTTCAAAACAACTCTTGTCCTTAAAACTAATAAATTATTCATAAAAACTAACTATGAAACAATATATACAGAATCTATGAAAACAATGTAAAACAATCCACACCACAATCTTAAAATAATAAAAAATCTATAACAAACATTAACAAGATTGAAACATTAACAGATTGAACACAAAGTCATCATTGGCCTAGGATACTGCAATTAGACTAACCATCCTTTTATGAAATCTAAAAAGTTGTTTGGCGTGTGTTTAGTTGTTGTTACGTTTGGAGGCGCTGAATATTTTATAGTTTAAATAAATGAATATGGGGAATTACGATGTACATTGATTCAATGAGGGTGGTTTAGTTATCAAGGATATTATAACTGATAACGGAATGGATAATAAACATAGACAATTAACTACGTCACTAGCACTACTAGCGTTTTTACTTTTTAAATTCCTTCAACATGTGACCAGTTCTTTTGTTGAAATGAATATTATTTTATTTTTGACTCAGATGTTTACAAAACAAACTAATATGTTGTTGTGTTTACTTTTCTTTGTTTACACTTATTTATTTGGCAATGGCAGTGGCTATTCGCACGTCAGACGTGCGTCGCTACCACGCACGTCTGCTCCAAATGACGTCACATTACGTTCCTAATCTACTAACTGTTATAGCTGTTTGGGAACAGGTTGCACACAAAGATATCCTAGTATTAGGAACGGTTACGGTAGTACCTCATATTAGCCGAAATCCGAAATCGAAATGAATGGGATCAACTTCGTAAAGAGAAAGGTAAAAGAGTTTAACAGAGCCAAAGAGGTTATAAGCAATAAAAAATATAGGTGCTGGCCAATAATAAATAAACGGTATCAGCATTCTGACACATACTTTCTCCCATAAGTTTGACAACAACCTTTATCATGTGTCAGCGGTGAGAGTAAATATAAGGAAATGGGATTTGTACAATTTTGTTCAGAATTTAAAGGACTATTACATACTAAATTTTTATCAAAATCGTTCGAGCCAATTTTGGGAAAATCAGATTTTTCCATTATTTTATGGGGTTTTTATGGGAAAATAACATAATTTACAATAACTTTTGAACCGTAATTTATACAGAAATAGGATTTGTACCATTTTGTTCAGAATTTAAAGGACTATAACATACTAAATTTTTATCAAAACCGTTCGAGCCAATTTTGGGAAAATCAGATTTTTCCATTATTTTATGGGGTTTTTATGGGAAAATAACATAATTTACAATAACTTTTGAACCGTAATTTATACAGAAATGGGATTTGTACAATTTTGTTCAGAATTTAAAGGACTATAACATACTAAATTTTTATCAAAATCGTTCGAGCCAATTTTGGGAAAATCTGATTTTTACATTATTTTATAGTGTTTTATGGGAAAATAACATAATTTACCATAACTTTTGAACCGTAATTTTTACAGAAATGGGATTTGTACCATTTTGTTCAGAATTTAAAGGGCTACAACATACTAAATTTTTATCAAAATCGTTCGGGCCATTTTGAGAAAATCCGATTTTTCCGGTTTTTTATGGGTTTTTATGGGAAAATCCCCATTAAAAATCAAAATGAAAAAAACGCCTGGAGATACAATGGATTAGAACCTACATACCAAATTTCATCGAAATCGGACCACAGGTGTAGTCTCTAGCTCTGTACACATCCAGACACACAGACACACACACAGACACACACACACACACAGACATCACTTCGAAAACCACTTTTTTGGGTCCAGGGGGACCCAAAACGAATATATCCACTCAAAACTCAAACTCGAAAATTTTGACGAAAACAATACTTTCTCCATATACTATGGTATAGGGGGAGAAAGTAAAAATAACATGCTTATTAGAAATAAACAGTTGAAGATTCAATATAGGAATAGTAAAAAACTTAAGCCTAAGCAGGCCTGATGTTAGCCTACTTTACCTTTACCAATCAAAGGCTAGGCCTATAAAAGGTATAGCCTAATATTGGTAGGCCTATGTAAGCCTAGATAGCCCAGAAGTAGGCTAGGCATTAGGATAAAATATTAATTAATCACCAGGCTGTCATCGGCTTAACTCTTAGTGTAAGCTAACAACCAGAAACATGCAGCACAACTATGGGACCCGCAGAGCCTATGACCTGTATGCACCCCGTTGTCGACTTAGCCACACGCTTAATTCATACCCATCTCTAGCGATAAAATTATTCAATACGTTACCGACAACCATCCGGACCCTAGAACCAAAACAGTTTAAGTCTGCACTTCGCCAGAGCCTAGTCAGTAGGCCCCTGTACTCGATCAAGGAACTGACTGACGAACCACTCGCCTTTCCAAAAATCTGAGTCACATCCGTCAGTTCAGATTAAATTGTATATATATATATATATATATATGTGTGTGTGTTTATAGTGTTTTATAAGTTTACTCTTTTTTTGACGCAATCTATCCAACTTTTGTTGGTCAAAGATAAAAGCTGACCGTGATAAAAAGCTCTTTCTGGTAACTATATGGTACAAATATAGTACCAGTATTTATTAGAATCTGAATGCACTGTGAGAATGATGTTTTCAGTATCACCAGTTACTTCATGAGGCATATCTCCAAACTACTGAAGATCAAGTGGGAGCTAAGAGGAGGGGATATACTAGAGGTGGAGAGAGGAGCCGTGATTGTAGCCAATCACCAGACTATGCTGGATGTACTTGGTATGGTAATACCTTCGATTTTATGATACCTACATTTTAGTGAATTTCCCTAAAGGGGAGTAGCTATTAGGTACCGTAGGTGACACGACACGGTAAGACCTAGATCGGGGTGGGACTAATGTACTTTTACATTTTGAGGTACCCAGAGGCCAAAACCACTACTGTATTCTTTAAAATGTTTTTCCGTGAACTTGATAACTCAAGTAATTTTGGTCCAGTTTCGTTTGGCAAAAAATAATTTTTACCATTAAAACATGGAAATACCAAGTATTCATTATGACCATTTTTTATGACCGAAATAAAACTTTTGGTTATTGAAACGTTGTAAAATAAAATGTTACGGAGAAAATAGATATATTTTTATCAAATTTGGCAAATGTATTTAGGCTATTTTATACTACATACTACTTCAGTTGTTCTATTCAGTCTACAATTCAACTAACGAGACACCTCATCCAAATCTGTGGCAACCATCAAACTCAATAGCCACGATCATTCTATTCTGTGTTCCATATTATTTATTTTTTTTTATTTCTCATACATTATGAGGAGACCTGTAATTGACTTTAAGCTGTGTTCCAGGAATGTTTGACTTCTGGGATGTGATGGGCAAGTGTGCAGCTGTTGCTAGGAAGGAAGTGTTCTATATTTGGCCGTTTGGTCTGGCTGCATGGCTTGCAGGAGTGGTGTTCATCGACAGGAAAAAGGCAAAAAAGGCTAACTTGCAGCTTGACGAGGCGTCTAGGTTAATCACAAAGGAAAAGGTATGGAACACGTATTGAATACTTCTTGTTGACGCTATTGTTGTACTCTAGCGTTATTCTAGTAGACGAAGTGACACTTTTTTGCACACAAGAGAAATGTTAATACACGAGCCGCAGGCGAGTGTGGAAAGTTTCTCGAGTTCAGCAAAGGTGGAATTTGCACTCGTGTTACACATTATATGTTTCCTACAGTTATTATTAAGCATAGAAATAATTCGTCTTTCAAACACTATACAACACGTTTTTAGGTTCAGCTGGCAACACAAATAGGTGCCCTAGAGAAAGTAGTACCCGGTCCGTATCACTCCGCTATTTTTCCTCGGCAAGAAATGTGCTCCGCGACTTGAGAATTTAGTTCCGTATGTTTTTGTAATTTGAAGTGGTTTCCGCGCAAAAAAAAATGCTTTAAAGGTATTTTCTCGTTTATTAAGATCGTAGGGAATGTTTTAAAAACGTTAAAAAGAAAAGTTCAGAAATACCGAAACTATAAACACGAAATGACAGGTTAAATCGTAGTTATAATAGTCAATCAGCTGCTCGTAGTATTATTATCTTTAAGTGTTGCCAACCTATTTCCAAGCGTACACGGATTACGTGCATAATAGAACCACGATGTTTTGTGTTGTTTCGTTGGAATCCTGATGCGCCAAAGTATAAACCGTGCGACAAAGTATAAATATGCAGCAATTAGCAGCTTTCTGTACTATAAACAGTACAAGGAAGCCAACTTTGTCGGGTGACTGTAGGAAAAATGTAATGTGTTATTGTATTTTTTTATATTTATCTCAATAAGTTTTGTTATACAGGATCATTAAGAGGGGACATTATTGGAGAAACCTATATATAGTGGTTAAATCATGCTGGTTTACTGCTATGTTTAATGGTTAATATTTTTGCCAAAGACACTCTCATTCATATTATACAAATTCTATTGTGTCAAGAATGTTAAACCCTAACTTTTAACAGATAAATCTTTAGGTGCAGAGATTTACTTTTAAATTTGTTTATTGCTATTGTTTTTCATATAAGTTCAAAGCAACTGAACTTATTAAAAATGAATAAAGTAATATAAATTCAAACTTGTTACTATAACTACACTTATGTCAGGGTTCTTTAAACAGATGATCACTATCAATTTTATTTGAGACAGAATGAAACCTTTACACTTCATTAGGAAACATTTTTTATTGATTTTAATGATTGCCATTTGTTTAGACAAAACTGTGGATGTTTCCGGAGGGAACTAGGAATCATAAAGGAGACACCCTGTTGCCTTTCAAAAGAGGAGCTTTTCGAGTCGCTGTTTCATGTCAAGCCCCTATCATACCAGTTGTGTTTTCCCCTTATTATTTCCTCAATTCTGAGAAGAAACATTTTGGACAAGGTATGGTGTTCCTTATATACACTAAGTTTGATCATTAGAATATATCAGAGTGTCTAAAACAGATGCACTAGACCTTTATACGGTTATATTTCATTGAAATCTTACAGTATTTAAAAGAACCCTTTAAGACATAAAAAATTGAAGTTGAAAAATTGTATAAAAGTAAATAAATATTTTCTGTCCATTATAATGCTATTATTAAAAGGTATAGGAAATACGCACATTGCTTTGAAATACCATAACAAGTATATGTATGTTGATAAAGTTTAAAGCATTATTTTAAGCATTAGTGAAATAAAATAAAATAGTACTAGTTATCCTTACTTTAAAACTATTATAAAGAGCATACCATTACCCAAAGTAGTTTTGTGGGCTATAGCGACTACGTCTGTGGATAGGGAGTCCCTAAAAATATAGTTTTCCAATATTTCTTATGAACTTATTTTTATTTTATTAAACTTTAAACACATTTTTATTCATTCAACTATGGGACACTCTCTCCGTCTTTCATTTAGGTTGGGGGAAAACCAAATGACAGCTCTAACTCTTATATTTTGAGTTATTTAATTAGTTATTGGTATTGTCTATCAAACTTATTGAATTGTTATGTTTATTTTGTATCAACTTCAACTGAGAGTTTACTAAGGTTGGGCTTAAACGTGTTTATTCTTGAGTTTTGTCAAAATATTTCTTTTTTAGGTCGAGTCATCATTCAAGTACTCGAACCAATCAGCACAAAAGGATTGTCAGAGGACGATATGGACAAGGTTATGGAAAAATCTAGAGAAATGATGATTAAGCAATATGAACTTTTAAAACAAGAAGTGTTAACTCATAATACGCCGAAAAATGAGTAAAACCTAACTCAGTAAGCTCGACAAAAAAAAATATGATAGGTTTCCATCGGATTAATTTGATAATGAAAGATAATAGAGTAAAATAAATGAGCTATTGATTTTATTAAGTTAACGAGTGCAATAAGTTACAGTATTTGAAAGTTTATTATTTTGTAACATATTTAATAAAGCAACAAATACCTAAGGCCTAAAGACAGATTGTTTATATTAAAACTTTTCTTTAATCTACTACAGTATCATAGATTAAACAGAGTATGTTTAATGTATGCTACTATTTTTAAAGCATTTATTAGGCTGTAAGAATGTTATTTCGCTGTAAAATATGCTTCTGACTTAAGATGCTTAGTTTAAAAAAACACCCAAAAACTAAGATACTACTGCTGTAAATAGGCTACATTGTAATAGTGAAAAAACATACATCATTTTATTGCTGTTAATAGTTAGTACTGTAATAATATTTTGTAATTTAAAGCATTGTAAATATGACTTGTACATTGAAAGTATTTGGTTACCGGTAATAAAGTTTTATGAGTATTTTTTACTCTTGTTTCAACAATTTTGTATTTGCAAGACAAATAAATCTTATAAGTTTATTAAGAAGCTTTATTGAAATTAAATGTTTATCAAACTATACTTTAATTGTGTTTTAGCAAATTTCCCATAGTATAAGGAATATAACCTATTTCCATCAGACCTAGACTGGGGCCGATTTCTTTGATGTTTTGATATCCATATACTGTATCATTATACTGTCCTATACTGTTGTATATAATTTCATAGGCCAATATCCTTTTAGGTGCCAACACTTTAATACTTTCTTATGAAATGGTGACCATACTAATGTAGGTATTTTAATCAAAGTATAAATGGAGATGACTAGTGCGATGAGTAGGATGAGTGGTGCGATCTTGTAGTATTGTTAGTGACTTAAGGCCGACATGTTCCTTAGACACAGCTGTTAATTAATAGCCCATACAACCAATGGCAACTAAAGGGGCCTACAGTTTATTGTAGAATCGTATAATCCAGGAATCTGAACCACATTTTTGCCTTGTAATTAAAGAATTGGTCTAATTATCAGGATAGTACTGGAATTTGTGCAAAAGAAATGTAGGAAACCTTACACAAATATATTTAATGTTTGTGGACTAGTGATTTATAGATTCTCTCCTATATTTTTTTTCAATGCTTTGTTTTTAATACCTGTGACTGGCTTGATCCAAGAGATTTGTAGAATTATTACATATTTTTACAGTTACTATAAAAATATGAACAATAACTTTATTAGAGTGTAATATAATGTGAAAACATCCCCACTGAATAACGAGTTTCTACAATGTCAGTTCGACAAGACCTAGGCTAAAGTAAACGATAACCTTTTTATGTTTAAGTAAATAGAACACGAAACAGAATTATTAGTTTGAATAACCTTTTACCTTTGGCAAGATTAGAATCCCTAGAAAGATTTTTGAAATTCTCATGAACGGAAGAAGACCAAGTGGAAGACTTTAGTCTCATTTCCACGAGGTAGGACGATTCCACAGATGGGTTTGAACAAGGGCTCGTATCAATACGCATCTTGGGAAAAGCACATCCGTGGTCCGTATAGCGGTCCGGGGTCTTCTTGATTTTTTAAGTTCATTTAACTATTAAAAGTCAGTTATGCAGTAAACACCTTTTCAAGCGGGTAGACTTCCATATCTGTTGGCACAAACAACCAATGAAAATATCGATCGATATATCAACCGAAACAATTGAATAATCGATATTTTCATTCGGTTGTTTGTGCCAACAGATACGGAAGTCTACTCTTTCAAGCCACAAACATAATGTAAATATTTTCATTTTATTTACTGTAATAAAATATAACCAGCTGTTCCCTTAATTAATTTATTAGTGCAGATTTAAAAGTATTCATGTGTCCAAATGTAAACAAATCTTTTCTCCATAAGAGTAACATGGGAACCTAGAGGTTGATTGGAACCTCCATGCCAATTCCTGAGTTGTAGTTTTTTAGATATAGTGATCAGTGAGTGAGTGGTATTTGATTTTTATAATTTGGGTGTACTACCCCGAATGTCTCATACGAAATCATAATATAGAATTGTTTTTCAAACTCAGTCAGCTTGATAAAAGTTGAGATAAGGTAAGAGTAAAATCAATAAAAGAAAAAAATATATGAGACATTATACCTGTGCGACGCCTTCATTCAGTAATGTACAAGCCCGTTGCATTTCTGTCAAACATGTAGAAGCCTATCAAGTTGTGGAAGGCGTGGACAATATAAACTCAAACGGACAGTTTCTTTGGTGCATATAGTTCAGCTGATTTATATAATAATTTCCTGATTAGCATTGTGCGTTATATTAAATTTATAAGTAAATGATTCACTGATAGTGTTTTCAAAATATTTCACTTCAAAACTAAATAGCCTATTCGTATTATTGAATCAATTGAACATAATATTGAATATAAGTTATTACCACAAATAATAGAAAAACACCGGCATGGATCATAAAAATAAACAATAATTACGTTTTTGGCCCGAATCCTATACTAATAGCATTAACAAATGTTTTAGACAGTTCCTTAACTTACGGGCCAAAAACGTAATCTGTTTATGTTTATGATCCATAACCTTAAACATTAGGCGGAAAGAGTTTTTAATTTCAATCAAAAAGGTTTAGAACATGTCAATTTCGATCTGTAATTAACTGATAAAGGCTAAGTATGTAAACTAAACAAATCCCTTATCCGAAACTTGACGCAAAAATGTTTTGGAAGTAATCAATTATAAATACTTACTGTAGGATGAAAGCTGTGTAACGAGGATTAAAACACAAGAACAGGATAGAAAACATATTAAGACGAGAACAACCAGACATATGGACATATAAGCTATGCAATCAGGACACCCAGAGGGGGGTTGATAGAAGGGAGACAAAGAGAAGTTTGTGTAACCGCCCCCCTCCAACAAGGATAGAAAATTAATCTTATAAACCAGATGTAATCAAGATCCGGACAATCGTTAGTAAAAATGAAGCAAAAAACACTTCAATAAGTAGTTGGAAAACCCCCGAGTGAAGTTTTATACCCTTACAACTCGTGTGAAGAAAGGAATACCATGATACGCAGTTTAATCAACTCAGTTTGATAATTTAACACAACAAAAACTGGATATCGAAAGTGAAAACACCCTGCACAGAAAACCTGCAGACTAAGCGAATTTCCATTTACCTCATTAAATTATCACTAAAACAACTTTAAAATGTCAGATTTATCACCTGTTTAAAGAATATTAATCAAACGAGTATGGTACACAGGTGTGCTGCTACCGGGAAAGTAATAAGAGTGTTTTGCTTGGTGAAATATTAATAGTTCGGTTTGAAATAAATACATTTTCAAAATTTGATCAAAATATGTCCATAAACAAGCAAACTAAGTAAGGGTCTAGGCCTACTTATTTCCCTTAAGAATGACACGATAATTTTAAATTGTAAGAATGCCGTGGCGTAGCCCGGGTAAAGTAGTAGTTTGTGGTGAGTCTAACCCGAAGATATATTGGAAAGCGATTTCAGCAGCATCCGTGAACATCTATTTTAATAATGATGACATAGTAAATTCTACCTCGGTCGCCGATCGCAGCAACATCCGAAAATACTCATTTTTTACTTTATGTAATTTTTTACAGTTCGACAAAACATTGTAAGCCTTGTGAGTTTTCTCATTGTAGCCATAGAGACAAACCATTATTTCCTATTTTTGAAATCCACACCTCATAAATTTGAATTAAACCAATGGGACAAAGTCCTAGGTCAGTATCAAAAAGTGAGAATAGTCCAAAGACATTCCTTAGTATAGTAGATATATTTTTGAAAAATTAAGCCTACTCGGTGCAGTAGTGTGTATGTTATTGAGTAAACACACACACAGAGCTTTGTTACTAACCAAATCAGCTGTTTCTCTAGCCAGGATCGTTCATCAAACCCGATGAACAAGGACAGCCAGCCGGGACTCATTCCACAATTACACGTTATTTGGTAAAATAGTTTAGGTCAGGAGAGAAAGGAGAAACAATAAGCACAATACGGACTTCGAACTAGGAAATTACATGTTTTGTAGTTACACAAATCTTATTTTTTATATTTCAAAACTTTATAATACTGTAACAAAACCAAATAGCTTCGCGCATTTCAAGTGTACTGATAACATTTTAATGTACAGTGGCGCTCGTCTGAGGTGGTGGCGACCGTTGGCACTATATAATGAGAAAGAACAGCTGACACTTGTTTTTGATTGTTGCAATATTTCGTATCGGCGGCAGTGGCGTGATACTATAGTTGTGATTGGCCAGTTAGTTGAGTGTTTTTGTGTTCGGGTTTGAATATAAGGATTGGTTTTTGTCCCGAATCGCCTCTTTATCGTAAGTTTTTTTTATTAAATAGGTTAAATTCGCATTGATTAACTGTCGTAAAGTTAAGAATACAAGATTATGTAAATCATAGAGGTTATATAAGTGATTGTGAACTTGCACGAAGCTTGTTCATGAAACATTTCATACAGCCTTAAACAAATCAGCATTTTATTATTTTCGGCATTAGTTTTGATTGAAGTATTTAGTTTTATTTTGGTATAATTATTCTACCCATTTGCTCATTCATAAAATGTGTACTTATTGATATGTCAAGGTCAATGCTACAATGTTATGACAGAAATACTGAATGCAACTAATGTTTGATTGACAAAACATTGTGTACCAGTATTGTACATATTGTGGTAGTCTTAGTTTGTGCTTTAGGGGCTGAGCATAAACGTTACAAAAACATTTTCTTGTCTTATTGCAAGATTGCATTTACTATTGCTATTGCTATGATAACACTAGTACTGTTACGATACTACTAATGCAGTACTATCTTTGACTATTGTCAATGATGCTATTTTTATTTTTGAGTAGTTCAATTCCACATTAAGGAGTTATTGTAGTTCATGGACGAAACCTTTCCACAGAAAATGTTAATAAACCCACAAAGAAGTGTTAAGAGATTTAAAGCGATTGAAATAAACAAACCAGAGGTCCAACTATACAGGTTTCATTACGTAAATTAAATCAATAATAATAAATAAATAAACAAGCTATTAATTAGCCTAGGACTACCTGATGTTCTAAGAATTAAATTATTTACTAATCCTAAATAAACGTTGTGGATATGAAACCATAACTTTCAGTGCAAATGGAGTTTCATACAAATAATGTACTTTTCTAGTGGAGGTACTTGGTTCACCTGAATGCTTTCTTTTAATAAGTGTTAACACCTGTTCCGAAAGTTATCAATTTTGTTCTTATCAGTTACTGATATGAGAACAAGGAAAAGTTAGTGACAGCTAAGAATTCTCCTGGGATATGTCAAATTAACTACCGTATCTAACTTTGTACTTTATTCACTGTTTGATAACATTGCAATGCAGATGGATCATGCTGTGTTTTCTTTTTCTAATTGAATCCTAGACTCACTCCACTTGTCTGATGACATATATCTGTAAAACTTGTTACAGTCTGGAGTTTTTGATGGTGTGAAAGTGGTAAAGCGCTGCTTTTGTCTTTGCGTCACAGGTTTCAGGTGGTTGTCGAAATTATCACACGAAACTGTCACTATAATTGATTGATGATGATGTAAAATTTTAGAGGCAACGAATTGTGTATGTCTAAATCCCTCTGTTGTTAAAGAAAGATTTTACAATGAATCATCATATACAGCCCACTTTTACCAAAAAAGTAAGGTATATTTTTGTGCCATGCCACAGCAAAGATTCCGAATTTCTGTCTTCAATATTTGCGTCGGGAGGCGAATGAATGGGCTATGTATTTGATTTTTTTTTACTTCGTTTCTAAATAATCGAATGTGTCAAGAGTAGCGACTGCTATTTTCGATTGTAACTCATTGTTGTATTGTTGTCGGCTGAATTATATGATATGTGTACACGAGGAAGAGTGAATCAATCAAGGGGTATGGTATAATTAGAGGTTTAGGTATATTTTAGACATACAATAAAACGAAACAAAATTAT